TTAACGACTACCCTATGAACGTAATAATATACAAAACGAGTGCAACTCATTTAAAAGCTATTTTGCTTATTATACGCTTTCATATCTGTTAACACTAGGCGCTTCGGTGCCTAACATTTATATTTATAGATACATTTCACTTTTTTACATATTTGATCATACTTTGTTCTTTTCAAAATAAAATCTATAAACAGTTTTATTCATAAACAAACAACTTCAACCAACAACAAACGTTTTATATTTTGAAACGAATTGAAAGAATTTTGTCATATTTCCGAAGTAACTCTGAAAGATAGAAAATTACTTAGTTAATAGTAGATGGAAGTGGTTGTAAATAACTGAAGAAACTAAGGAATCCATTCCACATTGGCATAAGATCATGTCGAGCTATGGACAGTTATAAGCAGATAACGTAAACTAGCGTAAAGAAATAGATAAATTTCAGAGATATCTGATTTAAAATAGGAAAATGACGAGATTGATATTTATAACACCGAGGCAACAACAAGTGACAGGACTTAAACTCCATCATCAAAATAGCAGGAGTAGTTGAGAGTATCTACTAATTTAAGATAAATACGGTTTTATTTCTCAAGGGTTACAAAGGTATAGGCTTATACAACTACAAATAGTTTAGTCGGTAAGACGTTCAACCGCTAATGTAAAATCATGTTCTATGTAAAATTCCCTTTTGCCACGTTGTAGAATGCCATTAATAGAAAAAAATAAAATTAAAATTTCATAGCATGTGTTTAGGTTTAAACACACTGTGGTTTTGACCTTTACGAAATTAATCACTTAATTAATTACTTAAGAACGTTATAGAGATTTTGACGAATGAAACCAACAGAAAAATATTTTTTTATAAACTAAAGTCGACAAACATGGACATAGTCCACATGATGATAAGTAGATACTATGACCCATAGACATGTATCCTCGGTTAAGAATTAAAATGATGGTGATGTGTTGTCACCTCTGAGTACTAAGTCTCTCTGAGTTTAAGTCAACTCTGAGTCTCCAGAAAAAATAGCAATTATGTGCTACTTTACGCTGTTATTATATGAGCGCGCAGTTCTTTCGCGATCGAGCCGACCCATTCTTGCTACAACTATACTACTAATATAACTGCAGCATGGCTATACCACGTAAAAATATTTTTAACTTTTACAAATTTATTGATAAAAGGAATTAGAACAATTAAGCAAAATTAGTTTCGTTCTACTATTCGAACCTGATACGTTTTTTTTTAAATCATACATTATTCTGTTTGGAAATTGAAATCGCGGCCCTTTACGCTGCAGCCACATGCTTTCTTACTACGCTAACGAGCCGTCAAAACCATCATCATCATCATAATCATCATTACAACCCATCACAAGTATACTACTGAACATAGGCCGCACCCATAGTTGCTCATAGTTGCCATAGTCGCTACGCTTTTAGGTGGATTGGCAACCGTAGTTTTTTTTAAATTATTTGAACTCTTTGCTTCTGTTCATCTCCTGTTTTTTGTTTCATGTTTTACAATGGCTCTACAACTTAAAAAATCACAAATGCCGATTGCAAATATAATGGCGATAATAATCAGACTAAGACAACACAAAGCGACATTTAAGGCAGCTGAAGCGCCATGACAGCGAGTGCGTCGTGCGGCGGCGGTACGTTGAACACCGGCACGCCGTCCTCGTCGCAGTACTCCGAGTAACGCACGCGGCGCAGCGTCCGCAGACCTAGACTGCTGCAAATGCGCTGCGAGTACGCACCGGTTGCATCCACTTTGAACAGCTGGAAAATGATAGAGCGTTACAGTAAAATTGACACAGTAAAGTACTGATTTGTGAATTAACGGTCGCAGTAATAAAGGTCTCGTTCATTTGAAGGTGCGCCACCGCAAGTATTTATTTGTTCCATATATATATTCAAATCTATACCACTTTGAACATCAGGAAAATGATAATGTTTTAATATCTTATTTTTTCCTATTAACCCCAGCTTTCCATATATATATATATATATATATATATATATATATATATATATATATATATATATATATATATATATATATTCATCATTACAGCCCTTCACGAGTCCACTGCTGAACATAGGCCTCCCCCAAGGTATGCCACAAAGCACGGTCCTGAGCCACCTGCATCCATCGACTTCCTGCATGTCTTACCAGGTCGTCACTCCATCTAGTGGGGGGTCGCCCCACACTCCGCCTACCGGTACGAGGCTGCCACTCGAGAACCTTTTTTCCCCAACGGTTGTCGGTTCTTCGAGCTATATGACGGGTCCATTACCACTTCAGCTGACTAATCCGTTGGGCTATGTCGGTCACTCTGGTTCTACTGCGGATATCCTCGTTTCTAAGTTTATCACGCAGAGAAACTCCGAGCATAGCCCTCTTCATAGCTCGCTGAGCGACTTTGAGCGTCCTCATACGGCCAGCAGTGAAGGACCACGTCTCAGTTCCATATGTCATCACTGGCAACACGCACTGGTTGTACAACTTAGTTTTCAGGTTTTGAGGTATACCTGACGAGAAGATGCGTTGTAATTTCCCGAACGCTGCCCAGCCGAGTTGAATCCGTCGATTAGCCTCTCGGTCGAAGTTGGACTTACCTAGCCGGACTATTTGCCCAGGTAAACGTACTCGTCAACAACTTCGAGCTTAGTGCTACCAACAACTACCGGCATAGGTGTGACATGGACATTAAACATGATCTTTGTTTTGTCCATGTTCATCTTAAGACCTATCCGTTGGGAGGCACTATTGAGGTCATTGAGCAAAGTGCTTAAGTCCTCCAGCGATTCTGCCATAAGGACTATATCGTCGGCAAATCGAAGGTGAGTGATGTACTCACCATTGATGTTAATACCGTATCCTTTCCAGTCCAGTAGCTTGAAAACGTCTTCCAATGCAGCGGTGAAGAGTTTCGGGGAAATAACGTCACCCTGTCTTACACCTCTCTGCAGTTGGATAGGTTTCGTACTCTGGTTCTGTACTCGGATAGCCATCGTAGCCCTACTGTACAAACACTTCAGCACTTCGATATACCGACAGTCAACTTGGCACCGCTGAAGAGACTGTAGCACCGCCCAAATTTCGACGGAATCAAAGGCTTTCTCATAGTCCACATACGCCAGGCAAAGTGGCAGATTGTACTCGTCAGACTTCTGTACAATTTGCCGAAGGGTATGTATGTGGTCTATGGTGCTAAAGCCTTTTCGGAAACCGGCTTGTTCGGGAGGCTGGAAGTCTGTAGTTCTTCAAGAGGGCGTTGTCACCTTTCTTGAAGAACAAGACCACCGCACTTCTGCTCCACGCCTCCGGAGTAGTGCCACCATGGAGGACGGAATTAAAGGACCTCTGAAGGACTTCAAGTACCGGTTTTCCACCCGCTTTCAGAAGCTCCGCTGTAATTCCATCCTCGCCCGGGAACTTGCCGTTTTTAAGGTGCTGGAGAGCCATTCTAATCTCGCTCAGACTGACGTCCGGGATATCATCGGAATAGTGTCGGATAAGACCCGCTCTTGTATCATTACTCACACTTGCGTGTGGCTCCAACGATGATGTGTACAGCTGCCCATAGAACCTCTCAATCTCACTCAGAATCTCAGGTTTCCCGGAAACCATGCTACCACACTCAGTCTTCAGCTTTGACAGTTGGCTCTTACTGGCAGACAGATCTCTGGCAAAGACTTTGGAGCCCTGGTTCCGCTCAATCGCTTCTTCAATACGAGCAGTATTAAATTTGCGTAAGTCTCGCCGCATGCATTTGGAGATCTGTCTGTTCAGTTGCCTGTATGCTGTCAAATCTGTTGACGATTGCAGCCTCATCTCTCGTCTAACAGCCATGAGATTAAGAGTGTGATCGGAGAGCTTTTGTGTTCTTCTGCGGCCGGTCTTGCAGAACTTAGCTCCGACCGCATGGACAGTTTCCACGAGCTTGTCATTCATATCGTCCACTGCATTGCAATCTTCTAGGCACTGAAAGCGGTTACGTAATATATATACATATATATATATATATATATATATATATATATATATATATATATATATATATATATATATATATTCCATGTCTAGCAGTGGACTAATTTTAGTGTGACGATGAAAAAGTAGAACATGTTTCTTAAAAGATTCATAATGTGCTTCTTTAATTATCTTGTATAAGGTACGTGAGGGTAATATGGTTACCTTAAGCTTTGCCGACCTTTAAAACTAAAACTAGGAGGAGGACAGAGACAAAAACACAAAGTCGTATACTATAACTATATACACACACACACACACACACACACACACACACACACACACACACACACACACACACACACACACACACACACACACACACACACACACACACACACACACACACACACATATATATATATAATATATTATAATAAGTTTATTCACAAGAAATATGGTACAAGGATGTTCTTATAAAGATAATAATGTATCACATATTTCACCAATTTTGGTATATGAAAACTTATTTACTAATCAACTTTAATAAATTACGTCTAAATCGATTATAATCTAGTCTGCCTTATTTCATTTGGGATTTTCCTCCCAGATTCAAATTTCCTGTAAGACTTCCTGCATATTTGACGCTACTCCTCATGTTGTAAGCCATAAAATTTCATCGACACAAATCAAAACACTTTTCACGACATCCAAGAGACAAAACGACTCAATAGATATTCTTCTATCAGTCACATGGAACACAATACGTAATACTAACCTTAAAACCATGTTCTTTGGCAATATCAATACTTCGTTTCATCAGCTCCTTAGCGAGTCCCTTCCCCCTCGCTTTGTCCGAAACAGAAATGATTCTACATTCCAGGATGCTGTCAACTTGGAAGGTATTGAACAAATCAAGGTCCCGGCTCACGGTGTACAAGATTGTAAAGATCTTGTTGTAGTTCTCATCGGACGATTGTTGGATTTTCTCGATTGATTGCTCGATGTCTCCGGGTCACAATATCCCATTAAGAGCAACGCCTAGGACCTGGAATTTATATTATTCTGGATTATTTTTAATACTCGTATATACATCGTTTGGCTTTTAAGCGCCTTGTGATATCAAAACGATTAACTTTGGGAAAAACCAGGATTTTATAGTCTCCAAGAAGTATAAAAAATCTCATACTTAGGCTTATATACACTTGTACAACAATGTCCTACAATATATGTATGTGCGGTGATTCTTTATTCTTTTTTAATAAATATTTTTAAAATACATTAATATTAATAAGAACTGGGAATAAATTGAAGTAGTTGCTACCATACTGTTTTGAAATGTTTTATATTTAAATTGTATAACATTATTGAAATTGAATATTTTAAAATGTCCCAATATAATTTCATTTCATGTCATAAGAGACGATTAAAGCATGTGACATAAAGACCTTATGACTTTCGATAGACGGCGGTCTAGTCACCCCATTTACGCCAGGCGTAAAATATCTGACCGTGTTTGGACATTAGCGTCAAAAGAGCCAAGTGTGACGATTAGGGCAAATCCTTTCTGCAATACGACAGACCTACGTCCAGTGGAATTTCGAAGACTGATGATGACGATGAAATGTATTTTTAATAGAATAAGGGTAACAAACGAGCACACAGACACTTAGTAAGTGGATGCTGTAGCACATAGACATCTACTTTCATCCTCAATTAAGAAACAAACTGCAGATACGTTACCACAATGAGGACTACGATGGAATGCCTCGTTTCCAGTAAATGGGTCACCGGTTCTCTACACTCATCATACGAAACATAGCAGCATTAATCATCCCTCCCCCATCATCCATTACCCATTAGTACTACAACGCAATGTTATACCAATGTAGCTGCAGCGTGGTCTACCACGAACTATGAAGTTAAATTGCCTTTCAGTCTGTAATAAAATGTGCTGATTCTACACTTTCTTCAAACTTGAGCACAATAGTGGAATCACTGCTACTTAGTACCTCCAAAAATGTGTACGAAGTTATCTAGACTTACTCCTAAAGAGAAAAGGAGTTTTCGAACGTAGCAAAACTTGTCTAAGAGTATCGCAAGTCTTTCAAATGATTAATCACCGTATCATCATCTATCGCAGCGACAGATAGCCCATCAGCCATGGTAGCGGTGCAGAGTCCTTCGAGGGCAGCGTGTGGCTGTCCCCTTTCACACAGAGACACAGCCTTATTAAGAGGCTCATCTGCGAAGAAGCTGTCCCGAAGGTGCTGTAGGACAGCCGCGCCCATCTCCGGGGTTATAGTCACAAAGCGCACCATAGCTGAAATTGAAAAGAAATATTTTCGTAAAAACCATATCTATAGAGCTACATAAAATTCTGGTGTATGTGTGTGTGTGTGTGTGTGTGTGTGTGTGTGTTTGTTCGTAATTCTTTTCCTCTTAAACAGCTTGACCGATTTTGATAAAAAACCTATGGCGAACTTATGGGATCACTCGGATGGTTCTTATCTATAGTTAGAACCGATAGGCGCTGTTGTGGAGATCCAGGAATCATCCGTGAGAAGCCAGGGTGAATAGGTAGTATTTATGCTCAGCGAACTATGGATTGGGTTATGCTCGGAGTTTTTTCGTGTGGTAGAATTCAAAATGAGGATATTCGCAGAGAAGTTAGCCCATCAGATCAGTAAGCTTAAATGGCAATGGGTCGGTCATATAGCTCGAAGAACCGACAACTGATGTGGAAGAAAATTTCTCGTGTAGCAGTCACGTACCGATAAGCAAAGTGTGGGGCGACTCCCCAACATTTTGGCAACCTAATAAGACATGCAGAATGTCGTGTAAGCAGATAGCTTAAGGCCATTTTGTGGTATTCCTTGTTTAGCAGTGGACTTCTGAAGGATTGTAATTGAAGGGTAATTTGTCTTTTAAGCTGTTTCTTAAATAAATTTTGTTATCATTTACATTGTAAATTAAAAAAAAATCCCGCTGTGTTTCTTGATGGTTCTTTCCAGGACAGTGGTTTTTCGAACCAGTGCTAAAGAAAAAAAATGACTTTCAATAAGAATTACATGTAATCTATATTGAATTAAAAAATATTCTATTTTATTCTATTCTACATATTTTTTGGAGGTCTTTAGAATTTTTTTTAGTTTATAAACAGAAACGTGTTTGCGTGACTGTTATGTGCATATAAATTTCGGATAAATGTAAGTATGCAAAAATATTACGAACGATAAGAATTACCACCATCACAAACACTGTAATTATTTACTAAATTGTTTAATTTTTATAATTATTTGTTTCACTTAAACATCAAACTGTTTTCTCAGCCTTGTTGCTACAACGATAAAACTAGCCAATTAGTTTGTTTTTCTCCAATTAATATGTACAAATATATTGATTTAATACTAAATTCTAACTCATTTCAGTATAACGTAAGTTATCACATATTACTACTCCCAACAGTATCATGCCAAGAACGCTGGCTACGTTTCCTCACTGAATGGCTATAATCTAATCAGAATTTCCAGAGATTACCTCCTTCAAGCAAACTAATATGGAAACAATTTCAGATATTTAGAATATTAGTATAGAAATGTAGAAGTAAATACCTTTGTGTAGATTTAGATGCTTTTTATAAAAATGCGGTGACAAACGAGCTTACAGCGCTTCACATTATAAGTGGCTGTGAGACCAAATGCAATCAACCGGCAGTCTTACTGACGTCAGTACTGCGGTCGAAAATCCACCTGCCAAGCGAGACGATAAAGGCAAACCCTTCCTACAAACCATGAGGAGAAGCCAATGCACTGCCATCGCCACTTACCAGCGGATGAACAGTTAACGCGTTTGTCACTAATATTATAAATGGAAATTAATTACTCTTTTCTAATACATATTGTTGCGCGCCATAAGTAATGCCTAGTACATGGCGGGTTACCACCAGCGCCATCTAGTATCGAATAACAGAATAAGGAGAGCTTTCTAGAAAATTCCATACTAAAACTTTCTACACCTAGTCAGTCGGGACCGGTACGTACTAAAATATTCTAGATGTTTCAGTAGAAAAGGCCCTATATAAGGCCGATTAGGACCGCGACCGAGTCAGCATTAAATTGGCAATCCGAGCAAATACTTCGAAGCGGTATAACTGCGAATTAAAGTGATCAGTGTGATTAATTATTTGTGTGTTTTAAATAGTGATGCAACAAATACTACTTTTACGAATACGAATACGAATATCTCGCTATGGTAATGAAAAACTAATTTATTTAATGATTTTCTATTTATATATATAATTGATTTAATGATTTTCTATTGTTCTAATAATTAAAATTTACAACAGGCAAATTTTTATTTAAGAAACAAAAATTTTGTAGATTTTCTGGTTTTAAGCGACTTCTCCTTTGAGTCTGGATGTTCTCAGCCGTTGAAAAAAGCCTTTCCGAGGCGACAGTACATGGTTTCAGTGAATATATATATATATATATATATATACATATATATATATATATATATATATATATATATATATATATATATATATATATATATAATATTTTTATGCGAGTTTTTTCAGCCTTGGAAAATGGACATTTCGCCAAATAAAAGGCCAGAGGCAAGATTTAAGACTTCGTATTCGTATTATTGGGATTTCTTGAGATAATGTCCTTGATTCTTTGCTTAGCTCTTTAGTAGCTTCTTCAAAATTGGCCAGAACATCAATAATTTGGCTCATAAGAGCCCATTGCTTTGCTGTGATTTCATGACGACAATTTGGTAGAGATGGTAAAACATCTTGAATCGCTATGCTTTGTTCATGTAATCTCTTTGACATCTGATACGTTGAGTCCCATCTAGTTTCAACATCTTGAAACAAAACAAATTTCGATATATTGTTAGCTTGTTGAGAATCTTTCAGTTGTTTAAGTATTAAAATAAGTAATAATTCCACTGCCTTTGTGTAGCCGTCGTTGCGACTTAGGGCCTCATAGGCCACGTCGTATTTTTTATGCACCGACGACTCTCATTCAGTCTGCCAGTAATTAGAGTTGCGGACAAAAATATTAGTTTTAAATATTCATGATTAGTATTCGCCGAATACGAATATTCGGTAAATGTCTGTTAGCGAATACGAATATTCGTATTCGCATTCGTTGCATCACTAGTTTTAAGTTATATATTTGGTGTTCGATAGTTAAAGTATCAGTTTTGATAATTCAATTTTGATAATTCAATCGGCAGTTTTTACTGTCACGAACCCCTAGCTTGTAGCAGTATTTTATGCTCAGATTGCGGGAAAAACTTTCTCAAATTATTCCTTGCACTTTTGCGAAGATTATGCACATAGTACAAATAACTTAAAGTAGGTGGCACGCGTATCGTATCGCCGAATTGATTTGAAACTTATATACGACGATATCATTTAACTTTAATGAATGTTTAAATTATTCTTAATTTAAACAATATAAGTCTTCTTCTAAATTTAAAATGATTTACACAACTATTTCTTCTGCGTCTGCAACGTGCCGGGTACAGTTTAGTAGCTTAATAAAATAAATTCCGTGGTTGTAATTTAGTAATTAAAAGATGTTAACAATGCAAACTCTTCGATTTCTGCCTATTCAATTAAAAGGAAGGACCTTTCAAAATCTCATTGAACTCAGCGTATTTGAATTAATATTTGAATTAAGAAACAAGAACCAACGTCAATTTACAGATCATAAAGGATGTTTCGTCGGGACCCCCTAGCTGGTTTCTTTGTTCAAGTAGTTTTCAGCAGTCTTTATACAATTATTGTAATGAATAATGTAGGTGTTATATTATTTGACAGAGCCAATTATGATGTACTTTGGAGGAAGTTAAGTCAAGTGGAGGTGCCGTTAATATGATTTAATATATTGATCGCTTGGTAGAGTAGGCAAATTAATATAGTAAAGAGGCGTTATACTTACTCTAAGCAATATCACCTAAGATGCAGGGTGAGGTAGAGAGGCCTCAGATCACCTCTAATTTTTACCTCTTTATAATCAATTGATTGAGGAGCTCAGAAACACCAAACGTGGTTGTCGCATCGGTTTTAACTTTTAAGTCTTTCAATTGACAAGCTGCGTGTACAAATATGTGTTAAAAATATGCGTTGAATAATAACCTCTTGTACAACACCTGTAAGTCTGTCTGTTTTTATTATATTAGATTGTGAGATGATCAGAGGCTAAAACTCGAAACCAAGCGACTGGACTTGAGTAGATCAGATGACGTGTTGGGTGATTCCGCTGAAAGCCAGTCTAAACTTTATCACGATTCCGTTCTAGTAAAGCTAACCAGTGATAAGTAATGTTGCTGTTGGTTTCATAATCAATATATTTTAATGTTATCATGTAATGATGTGCATCATACTATACTTCATGTGTCGTTGTGTCCGGCGTATTACGGTATGGTCGAATTGTAATTACGCTACGCTAAATGTGTAATGCATTATGCTGTTTTCTTGCTGTTAATGATTAATTTGACCATGTAGAGGTGATGTAAGAATATCCATTACCGAAAATCGTCACGTGGGTGTCGTAAAAGGCGTTAGAGGGAAAACGTGAACGTGGCAACTATGAAAATATCCCCCATATGAGGCAATTTATGAATGGACCTATGTTCAGCTGTGGGCTTTACCTAATAAGCTATTATGAAAGAATAAATGAAAATGATTAATTGCATAAGTAAAAGAGCGTGTTGAACATTCGGTCTCACACAATATTATCTCTAAATGTTTTCAGTTCATTTTCTAGAAACGTCCTAAGATCTAAACATAGTGGTTACTTCATAGACTACAAATCATGATTTCAAACTTGCCTTAGAGTTAAAGTTAGAGACTATATACAGTCCCTCTGCTGGGCGCAGGTTTCCTATCATTTATGAGAGGGTTTTAGAGCAAGAAAATGCCCGCCGCTTTGCCCCAATGCGTATTGGCGGATTTCACGTTTTCGAAATAATTTCTTTTCCTATTTTACAGACGTACCGGTTTCGTCCTAAATCAGCACTTAACAGTTTTCCTGTCCGCGCAACAGACTGTTCATATATAATTCATGGGAGAGAAAAAGAGTTAAAATTGCAATTAACAATTTCATTGGTGCCGTCGGGGATCGAACCCGAGTTGCTCTCCTACTGTGAAATTTACAGCGAGTGTTTATACCCTGAGCTACCACGGTTTGGCAAATTTGTCTTGTTTTATTTAAAATCTTACATCCCCATAGATAATTAAGTACAGCAAGGATACTTGTCATAGTTGCCACGCGTGGCAATAGAGTTGGCAATAGAGTTGGCA